CTGATAGGAGGGATCATCTCTAGGATGGGCTTTACAGGATAGGACTCGTGTCTAAATTAAAATTCTCTCTAGTGTTTGAATTTTTACAACAAGAAGGCATTTACTTTTGAAATCACGTATGGGAAATAAACACTGTTAATCAGTGCTTAAAGATGGGCATCTCACTTGAGGGCCCTCTGGCTCTGACAGTGCTTGTGGAGAGAGGGGTCAGGTACCCTCCACACCAGACCAGATGCTCCCCAGCAAGAGCGAGGAGGGGCAGAAGTATTTTGGGTGCAGAGCTGGGTAAAAAGAAAAGCAAGATTTGGGAGTAAAATGAAAGTAAAGCACTGACGTGGCCAGGGGTCAAGCGGGAGGCAGTGACAGCCTGGCCTCGCCTGTGTGCCGGGCGGGTGCTGGACCCCTCACAGCTGACACTGCTAACCCTCTTCTTTTCTCTCCAGAGCTGTCTGCAGTTCCTGCAGCATAAAGGTGAGGACCACCTGGGGTCAGAGTGAGGGCCCACATCTCAGGTGTCCTGCGGCCTGACCGGGCCTGTCCGGGGGTGGGCAGAGGCTCTGCTGTCTCCTGTCGGGTGATCCTTGCTCACTACCCACCTCTTCAGCTCCTTCCTCCAGAGCAATCCACTCCTACACTTCCCAAGACTGCAGTTTTTAAAGACCCTTGTAAACGGTCCCTTTTTTAAAAAAATTAAATATTCTCGGTTAGTAGGCCAGTGCCAGGAGACCCGTCTCTTTCTCTAAAAGTCCTCCTTCTGACACGCCAAATTCCTTGAGTGTTTTTGGAAAGCCTCATTTTATAGCAGCTTGGTGTGTCTGCATACACGCAGGTGTGCACAGAGGTAAAGGATAACATTTGGAAGGATGTCATCCCTTTACACCTCATCCCAGAAACAATCATCTGTTTGAGGGATTTTTACCACTACTATTTTCAAACCCTTACTTTTTATGCTGCCACTTGGCCATAGAGAGACCACCTCATCAATGTTAAGTACTGATTACATACAGGCCGCAATGCTCCGTCTTGTGTGTTGGCAGCTGTTCGGGGGGACCAGGGTGCCTGGAGTGTCTCTCTGTGTTGCAGATGAAGATGCCGTCTAAGAAGTTTGCACACATTCCCGTGTACACGCTGGGCTTCGAGAGTCCTCAGAGGGTGTCAACCGCCAAAGTCACGCTGGCACAGAGAAGAGACGCCTTCCAGTGCGTGCCTGCCCTTGGTGACGTCCCTGTGGTGGGCAGGCATCACAGTCACCTGGAAGCTGGGCGGGGGCCTGTGTGCTGGGGTGGGGTGGGGGCTGAGAGGTCAGAGCCCAGGACCCAAATTCCTCCCAAGGAAGAGCTGCTGGGGATGGACTTTGCTCTGCCTGATGTGGGCGCGGGGGGATGTGGAGACTCGGGAGGACCCCTGACGGCCCTGTCCTGCCCCAGACCCCTGCAGGGGCCCCACTGGCGGAGCGTGGAGGAGGAGTTCCCGCACATCTACACCCACGGCTGTGTCCTGAAGGACGTCTGCAGCGACTGCACCGGCTTTGTGGCGGATGTGGGGCGCTCCAGCCGCAGGAGTGTGGACGCCCTCAACACCACGCCCCGCCGCGCCCGCCAGACCCAGTCCCTCTACGTCCCGAACACCTGGACACTCGACCTCAAGTGATGGTCGTGGCCCCCTGGCCGCCCGGTCAGAGGCTTTTCGAGGTGCCCAGGTGGCCATGCTTCTGGGGAGGAGCCAGGCTAGTCCTGGACCAGGCGGAGAAGCCCCCGTCCTGGGGCACGGCGGCCCCCGGCCCTCGTGATGTGCATGTACATATATACATATACAGATACGTTTATATAATATATACACACAGCATATATATTTATATTCATGCTTCCTGGCCCCAGAGTTCATTTGGGGTCAGACTCACTCCAGGACCCTCCCTGGGGGAGGCTGTTTCCTCTCAGGATTCCTTGAGCAGAGCGGGGGGGCGGATGGGAACAGGTCTTCTCACTCAGATGCAGAGGGGGCGCGTGGGCATACAGCAGAGGGGCTCTGGGGAAGGTCCTGCCCGCACGTTTTCTTTTCCGGCAGCTTCCCCTCCCTGGGTGGACGTCCAGGCCGGGACACGGGTCCTTGGTCCCCAGGGGGCCTGGAGCACCCCCCTCATACCTGTGCTCTTCTAGCAGGGCCGTGGGCTGCGGAGGCACCTGGGAAACCTCTGAGTGGGCTAGGATTCCCCTGTTGGGCATCCCAGCCCTCCATGTGGAAGGTCTAAGGCCAAGCTCACTCCCGGCCCCCACCTGGCATCCGTACCCCGGCCATCTGCCACGCAGCCAGTATCGCTGGCCTCACACACTCAGAGGTGCGGGGATGGTGCTGGCCCGGGGGCCCTGGCGATGCTGGCAGTCCTGGTAGGGGAAGGAGCTCTGTAAATTGTACACAAGGCCACTCCTGGCCGAATAAATGTGGTCTCAGTCTCCTGGCCGGGGTGTGCACTGAGAGCTCTCCAGTTGCAGGGGTGGGCCTGTGCTCCAAGGGCGGACACTGGGCTCTGAGGGGCCACCTGCCCTCTGGTGCCGTCATGACACGAGCGTGCTCAGGCCCACTCCATGATCTGGCCATCTTGGTCCTACAGCCGACAAGGGCTGTGTGTGTGTGTGTGTGTGTGTGTGTGTGTGTGTGTGTGTGTGATAGCCGCATAGCCTGCTGCCTGTCACCTCCCAGCCTGGGGACCCTTTGGCCTCATCCGCCACATCGAGGAAACTGAGGCTCAAAGAGGTGAGGGAATTTGGCCACAGATGCACAGCTTGCCCAGGATCTTCAGCCAGGCCTATCGGATGCCAGGCTCTAAGGCCTGGCACACAGATATGGGCCCGGAGGAGACCCCAAGGGGCAGAACCTGTAACAGACGGGCCTACGGGTGAGATGCTTTCTTCAGCTAGGGTCCAGTACCCTCAATAACAATTAGAGCAGCCAGGAGAAACAGCCCGTTCCCAGCACTTGTTCTGAGCACTTCATGGGCAGGCAGTATTGTTATCCCCATTTTAAAATGAGAAAACGGGCACAGAGAGGGTAAAGAATTGCCCCCGGTCACACAACCAGCAAGGAGAAAGCACTTTCAAGGGCAGATAATCCTGCAGGTGCGGAAACAGGGCAGGTGACACGAGCAGGGCCACGCTCCCAATAGGGGGGAGACCCAGGTTCTAATCCTCACAGGAACACCTTGAAATGAAAGCCCATCGGAAAACAGAATAACCCCATCCTGGGACAGCTGGGCTAAGCCAGGAGGGCCCACACGGCTCCAGTGTGAGGTCAGGAGGGAGGGTCCTGCTGTCCTGGCTGCTGGGGCTCACCTCCCGCCAACCCCAGGCGCAGAAAGCTGTAGTGCTGGCCCAGGGAACCCAGCCCTGCCTCTGCTCACCTAATTTAGATCCTGACAGATGGAGGTCGCTCGCTCTAGAACTGTTTACAACCAAGCTTCTCGGTGAGGAACAGGCCTTCGGGAGCACAGGGAAAGGCTCATGTTCAGAGTTGCCTGTTCAAGGAAGGCAGCCCTCACAGCCCCCCCGGCTGCCAACTTAACAGACGGCAGGGCAGGAAGCAGCTCCCGGTGACACTCCCCTCGTTTCCATCCACAGGTGAGGCGATAAGCCTGCGTAAGCTGGTCACACCAGCAGTGACACAGAATCTATTTAACAGCTAGCCTGATCCCTGAACCATCAAGAGTTTTTAGGAGGGCGCTGCCCTGGAGATCCTGTATGTGCTGAGCGTGGCGCTTAGTGGCTGGATAGGGGGTGGGGCTGTGAGAGGCAGCGGCCACGCGCCAGCCAGCGGGGAGTAATTCAAGACCCCGGTCACCATTATGGCCGCCAGGCCAGCGGTGCGAGCAGCGGCACACACACCTGCTTCCTTTCTGGGGCTGTGCCAGCAGCCTTCCTCATCTCAGCTCTGGAACCACAGAGATGAAGGCAGACCCACGTCCTACCTGGGTCAGTTCCAGTATGGCCGCCAGGCCAGCGGTGCGAGCAGCGGCGCACACACCTGCTTCCTTTCTGGGGCTGTGCCAGCAGCCTTCCTCATCTCAGCTCTGGAACCACAGACACGAAGGGAGACCCACGTTCTACCTGGGCCAGTTCCTTACTCTCTGAGTCCCAGTTTCTTTACCTATAAAGGGGAGGACGTCTACCTTCCAGGGCCAGGTAAGAACTGAGGACAGGGCTTGGCGCCACAGTGAGGGTCGTCCGCGACCCTCCTCCGTCAGGGTGGGAGGGCTCCTTCCCCACACCAGACCATCCTGCCCTAGCAGGGGTTCTCAATCTGCCTGTACACTCTAATCCCCTGAAGACCTTTTTTAAAAAATGTCAATGCCAGACGCCACATTGGAATTTCTAGGGATGAGTCCTCGACCTTCACTGTAAAAATCCCCCCAGGAGATGAGGGTGGCGAGCCTCCACCTTAGACCACGGATTCCCACACCTAGATGTACAGGAAAATCATCAGGGACGCACTAATGACGACAAAAAGCAAACGCCCAGGGCGTACCCTAAGGGTCGGTTTCAGCCTGCCGTGGGAGGCGGGGGTCGAGATCCGCAGCTTTGGGAAGCTCCTCGGCTTGGACGCGCCTACTTTTAATGAGGACAGAACTGCCTCGCCGGCAGCCCCTGGAGGCGGCCTGCAGCGTCTGGGCGCACCCCCCCGCGCCCCGCCCCCAGCTGCCGCCCGGCCCCGCCCCCGCCCCGCCGGCCGGCACTCGCTACTGGAGACTCGGAGCCCCGCGCCGTCCAAACGTGTCTCGCGGGCGCGCCTCCAGAAAACCCGAAGACACCCGCCCGCGGAAGCGCCCAAATCGCGCGAGAACTCGCCCGGAAGTGCATGAGCCTTCTTTGATGCCACCGCAGACAGAGAGGAAGTTCCGGAAGGCCGCAGTGCGCAGACGCGATACGCCAGACTCGCGCCACCGCGCCTTAAGTGCGCAGGCGCGCCGTCAGCTCTCTTTT